TCATGGAGCAGTAAACTCCCTTCCACCGAATTCACACACAACTCCCGGGTCCACTCGGTACACCAAATGACCCCGTTTTCCCTGCTCCTAGGATACGACCCTTCCCCCTATCCAGAAACCAGACTAACTCCGGTCCCTTCTGTCGAAGAAAGATTGGAAAAGCTGGCCGCAAGCCGAGATGTCGCCATCTTGGCTCATAAGAAGGCACAGGAATTAATGAAGTCTCGCTCAAAAGGGACTTATGTCACGCCGAAAGTCAGAGATCGCGTTCTCCTGAATACCGCTCACTTGCACATCAAAAACCAATGTGACAAGATTGCACCCAGACGTCTCGGACCTTTCGAAGTGACTCAAGTTGTGTCGCCAGTTGCTTTCCGATTGGACCTTCCAAAAACCTGGAAGGTACATCCGGTGTTCCATGGCTCACGGATCTTCCCGTTTGTTGAAAACAAAACTTATGGAGCTGCGCCCGCAGCCCCGATACCAGAGCTAGTGGATGATGAAATTGAGTGGGAGGTCGAGTCAGTCCTCAATCACAAGCTTGATGGTTGTCGTGGGAAGAGAAAATACTTGGTAAAGTGGAAAGGGTTCCCTCATTCGTCAAATACGTGGGAACCCAAGGAACACTTAAAAGAACACACACAAGAAGTGCTTGAACAATACAAGCTAGCTCGACACCTCCGCTTTTAAATGGACTCCCCATGATCTGTCAACACTGAGAACGACTATGCCGACCTCCCCCTTGCCACCAAATCCTTTTGCGACCCCAATGACAGAGACTGCTTCGTTCCCCCCGTCTCTAGCTATGCCCCAACCTCACCTCCGTCGTCCCCCACCAGCTTTTACGTCTCCGGGTACTCCTCGCCTGTCTCCCAACCTCGTTCGTCATCGCCCACTCTCGCCTGCCCTCTCTGACCGCGTCCACACCAAGGCTTCACGATTCGTCGCATCCCCGCCCCCAAGGTCAGAGTCCTCCCAGGAGAGGACAGTAGCCGACTGGGAAAGGGTAAAGTGTGGGTTGATGATGACCCCCATAGTGGAGCAACCGCAGGCTCCTCCGCCAATGCTCCCAAATCTCCTGACATTCGCAGTGCCTTCACCACCTATGTGAACTGAGGCGATCGCGTCACCCTTGATCTCCTCACCTCAGCCGCCGCCCTTACCAGGACAGACAAGCAAAGACTACCAGTCCCAGCAGCTGAGTACCTGGACATTGTTCGGGCACTTGACGTCTTCCACGAAGGGGAACATTAACGGGTGCACACCAGAACAGGTTAAGTATTTTGGGATGTTGTCTGAGGTCTACCGAGCATCAGACGTAATCAACGGTCTTGTTTCCAAAATTAGAACTCGGAAACTTAGTGATGTGGCGCCCCTGTCAGAAGTCATCATGATCGAGATGTTGGAGAAGGCTTCCTCCGAAATTACCGAAGCTATCACTGGAGGAGCCTATCACCATCTACGGCAACAACAGATCAATGAATTCCTCACGCCGCCTGCTTCTTGAGTTCTCGATCGGATCATCCCGAAAGAAACAGACCCGCCCAAAATGAAGACCGATATCTCGGATCAGGAGAAGGAAAAGGAGTGGCACGCTGTGGAGTTAGGGTTTGTCGATTCAGGAGAACTTTTTAAGGAGGTCGGTGCGTGACTGGGAACTGGGACTCACAACTCCTCTTGGGAGGTTCTTTTGCAGGATGCATCGTGGGCTGGCATGCACAAAAACTACTTTAATGCCATCCACGCCTCCGACCCTCTCCCTGCGACTCCCTTCGTCCCCGTCCCTGCAGATCAACTTCGGTATTACTTGGGAGGACAGTCCCCAGTACCTCCCGACCACCCCTTATACCAACATGCCTGTTACCAGTGTCATTACCTGGGACATTGGTCATGCCGCAACGGACGAGGCTCCCATTATACTCCAGCCCTCGAGGAGCCGTCATCTCCATCGCCAACCAAACGCATTCCTGCGTTTACACTACTCGCCGACCCTTATCCTCCCGTCCCTCGAATGCCGATCCCACTTCATCCTCAAGGGTCTGAGGACCTTAGAGGGGGGGTGATGATATGCTTTCATCAAGGACCTTTCCTTTTTCGACTCCTTGCGGTCACGTGCGTCACGTGCCTGGTTGCGTCGCTCGTACTTGTCATCATACTCAGGATACGCATGTTACAGGGACACCTCGGATCTCTGGTTGTCCAGGTACTCTCGGTACCTGTCGAGACTCATCAAAGACTGATCCGTGACGTTCACCGCTCTCGTGATTGACAAGATGTCCCTTTCTTGTTCCATTTGACTCCCTCTGACTCGTTTATATTGCCTGTATGTTGTACTATAGCTCCGGTGTCTGGCTCCTTGCTGCGCATTGATTGCGCAGCCGGTATAGCCTTCATTTCCTTGACTACCCCCGTCTATGACACCGTTTGACTCATATTTATTTCAAAGATTAGTTCGTTGATTACTGCGGATATGTGTTGCGACGCGTTGCTCGCGACTGGTACGGTACTCTTACTTAGGGGTATATAAACCTACGTACCATACCTTGTATCCTCAGTTTTTCGATAGCTTGCAACTGAGCTAATTACTTTGCTTCGATCCTTGTCTTCTCTCCATGCGAACAACCTTAGGGACTCGCCAGCAGACAAGACCTCTGTCGGATCTTTGCAATAACTCAGCCATAGGGGTTACGATACGTTCGGCCCGTAGACTCCCACCTCGCGCGCTTCATGACTATTCCATTTGAAGAAGTCACCACGCTCGGGCATAACACCATATGCCATGATCACAGAAGCTGATCTCATCAGTGTGATTGATGTGCTTAATGGAGATGATATCATGGAAGTGCAAGAGTTCACAATGGTCATTGATGACCACAAGTTCCCCCACACAGTCAGATTTTTCATCTCAGTCACAGGCAACATGGGTATTACAGTCTTGTGTCATCTGTCTGGACCATGAAACTAATGCAACATAGGCCCCAATGTGAAATCTATGAGACAGAAGGCCTTTGCAGCTGTTGTTGCAACATGTGATGAACACCAAATTGCATTTGACACTGATGAAGTTGGTTTACCCACAATCTGCATCGTGAACCCTGGAACATTTACAGATTATTGGTGGTGGCAAGGAGAAACTTTGAATGTTGGCATTGGGCGGATCAAGCTTCCCTCTGTGCTTTTTGATCCTAAGGCCCAAGAGTGGGTGGTGGAGAGGGTCATGCTGGAGCTCTGATTACAATTAATCGCCTGGCTTACCAGAATGAACACAGCAATGTATTATAGTAATATGCACAGTCAATGTGGGGCATGAATTGATGGAGCCAATGCAATGTAGGACCCAGCCAATACTAATGATACCCATTTGCTCAAATAGTAGGACCACATTTTAGTCACATTTTAGAGGAAATTATGACCATATGTTGATTGATTGACCAGATGAACTTACACCATGGAAGATTGTATGTCTGTACTCATACCTTATCCTCTGATCCAGAACATGGGTTTCCCATTGAGTATATGTTTCTTTCTGCGCATCAACATGCAGTTCACAGAAGAATCACTATTTGTAACCATACACCATCAATATCATCTACCACTACATGCAATCACTGCCCAATTGACTCCCAAGCTTGAAGCATTCTTGAAAAGGGACATGTACCATTGTTTATGCAAGGAATCTAATAGCAACCAACATCAAGATCAGTCATGCTCATATGTAATTCCTCCCAACTCCCAGACAGAAAAACTTCTGTCTGGCTACTGAAGAGAAATATGTGTGGGCAGACTTGGTCTATTTTTTCTGACTCCCATCATCTCACTTCCTCTCTTTTCCCTTGCAGGGCTTATGCCTTATCTTAGACAGTCTGACTGCTATCCTGTGATGGGAGACAATGCTCTGCACTTTTGGAAGCTTTGTTGGCTAAAATAGTTTCTACTGCAATTCTTTCTCTCCTTGAGATCAGGATGCATTGCTATGTCACAGGGACAAAGATAGCAAGTTCAAAAGGTTGGTCTTCAAACCACAAAAGAATCTCCTATTTGTGAAAGCTGTCAGTTTTTCTGCATCATGCCCACATGGTTGACAACAGTGCATCACTTATACTCAACAGCAAAATCATCCCTGTGTGTGGTTTTTGTGCTGATATTCAAAGTGTAGCTTCCCCTGTGCCCAGCAATTCCCCTTGCACAACTTTCCTGATCCATGCAGACATCAGAGTCATTACATCAGGATGATCACACTGTGAAATGTAAAAGGTTGTCAGGCCTGGATACTTGCAAGGGGAAATTGAACCTATAGATAGGCTTGAAGACTGTTGATTACCTGTAAATGAAGGTAGAAAACATGCTGGAAGACAGTATAGGCCACCAGCCATGTCAAAGGCAGTATCAGTGGAGACTGGATGCATGTCCAAACAAAGCCAAGTGCCCTCCTCAACATCATACTTTGATGTACAGGGATACAATAGAAACATCCCATGGGTCATGTTGAGGGAGATGGAATATGTCAGCCTTCTAGAGCAAGGAAGCAGGGCAGACAGATGCCAATAGTGTAAGAACAGCTCCACCCATTCTACTGTGATGGGTAGGTAGAAGATAAATCAAAAGGAAACTCACCTTTCTCAGTTGGTTTAGTGTCTTGTTTTGCATCAATATGCATGGTTGAAGGATGACAAAGCAGATGTGGAGTAAAGTCCCTGCTTCAGGCCATCCACTTACTGGGCCAGGCTGTTGACCACTATCAAATGTTGCCTTGTGGAGGCATTATCAAAAGTCCTCATGATCACTCAGTCAACTTCTATGGTTGCATGATACAAGCCATATCACCTGCACTAAGAATTTCGTATGGTCCAATGAGCCTTCAGTTCAAGGAAGGTATAATTACATCCACCAGTCTATCAACCCTTGTGATGGCAGCCAAAGTGGATAGCAGTCCATGTGTGCTATTGACAAGGGTGTGCTAGTCAAAAAAAGGAACCATAGACCTGTACATAGGGCTACCAATGCCTTCCATCATGGTACACCTGATTACTGCCTTGACTCCTGGGCTAGAAGCAGCCCTGAAAGAGGACATGAACTGTTGCTTGAGGAACCTGATAGCTGCCAACATCAAGACCTGCTATGCTTGTAGCTCCTCCCAACTCCCAGACTTCTTTCTGGCCATCAATGATAAGGATCTACAGAATGACAAATCTGTCCTCTTGGACTTCCATCAACTTGTCCCCCCTACAGATTACAAATCTTACTGCCCATATATGATTATGTTCAATTCCTGCCCTTGCAAATTGTCCAAAGTCGAGGATATGCTTGCACCAGGCCTTCCACTTTACATTTCTCTCTCAAGTACCACTTCTGGCAAGCAGTGCAAGCAGTTTGCAAAGTACTTTATGATCCCCCCCTCCCCCAACTTCTTGCCATTCCCTGTGGGAGTTACTTCAGTTGTCTTCATGTTTGCATACAGAGACCCAGTAGAGGTTGTAACAGATTCTGGAGAAGTTGTAGCAAGGATTCCTATTTGTAACAGGTCAACTGGGATAGCATGCACACAAAACAATTGGACCATCAAGACAGATGGCTCCTGCATGGCATCTATAAGTAAGTGAAAAATCCATGTAATTTGTTTTTTGATTTCAATCACCTACACCTGATATCCTCTGCACAGTCCCAGGCCACACAGCTCTGTGGGCCACAGGATTCATCATCCACCATTGGTCTTTCCTGTTAATCCATGCATTGTTTTCTTTGGTGAACACATCACTGGAGGGATTTTATATGATATTTGTAACAGTTTTCATGGACATGGGCCACACTCATCTCAAGCATTCAAAATGGGACCATCCCAGACCTTGAACAGATAGACCATGTCCAACCTTATCTGCAGGTGAGTGATCAGAGTGGTGCTGCATAGTCACAATATCTGACTACACCAGCTGAACACGCATGCCAACCTGTGGTGGGCAGATGAACTTCAGCACATAGGACCTCCTCTTTCTTGTCCTGGATGGACCCAGCATGTTTGGCCAAATTTGAAGCTCCTTACAGGCATTTGTAGCAGTACATTTGCCATGGCACCACCCCAGGTGGGCATGTCCACCTTTTATAACAGATCAGCAGACCTCACATCAGTTAGGTGAGGTCAATTCTTGGACCAAACATAGTCGTCCACAACCCTTGCTACATATGTACAGAATGCCTCATAGGTAGAACCCTCAACTTCAAGGATACCAAAACTTTTGTTGCTACAATGGATGAATTGATTGAGTTTCTTGATGTGACACAAGAACCAACACAGGGACAAGTACTTCAAGTGGTATGTGTCTCATATCCATTCTGGTCTCCGACTAATGCCATTCTTGCCAGTGGGATCTTCAACCAGGAAAGTTCTACCAGCCTGTGTTGATGACTCATGATGGGCTATGGAGATATCCTATAGATGATGTCATCCAAGTGACTGGCTTCAACCTGCATAACAGGTTACCAGTATTTAGGTACTCCAGACAGAAGAAGTAAGCAAATTACTTTGGTCACTCATTTTCCTCTTCTCATTATGATGCTCACATGCACTGTCATGAAGTGTGGAGCTCTGACTTCCACATGCCATGATCACAGAAATGGATCTTGTGAGCACAATTCATGTGATCAGTGGAGAGGATGTCATGGAGGTATGAGAGTTCACAACAGTTGTTGATGACTGCAAGTTTCCCCACACCATCAGATTTTTCATCTCAGTTGCAGGAGAGATAGGTGCTACAGTCTTGTTTCATAGTGTTGGACCATGAAACTAATGCAATCTAGGTCCAAATGTGAAATCCATGAGACAGAAGGCATTCACAGCCCTGGTTGCAACAAATGACAAGCACCAAATTGCATTCAATACCAATGAATTTGGTTTGCCCACAATCCAGATTGTGAAGCCTGGAACACTTACAGATTATTGGTGGTGGTGAGGAGAAGGTTTGAACATTGGCATTGGGCAGATTAAGCTTCCTGCTGTACTCTCCAACCCTCAGGCCCAAAAGTGGATGGCAGAGAGGGTCATGTTAGAGCTCTAAAACACTGGCATGTGTGTAAGAGAGCTTTTACTAGCCGAGGAACCAGTCACCTTGTTTACAAGGTCACTCCAGCCCGAAGATGAGATGCTTTTTTCGACATCCACACATCTGCCTGTCAATTGACTCCACACAGCAAAACCCGCCGGTCGTGATTGCGCTCCGGCGTGGGAAACAAGGTGCCTGCCGGCGCCGCCGGCCATGTTCTAGTATTAACCAATGCCGCAAATTTATTTGGTCCATTGTCACGTGCCCCCATTACCACTTGCCATTAAACATAGCAAATATGTGATATTTTATCTAAGGTATAGTGCAAATGTGTAAAATATTGTGTACAAATACCCATTTTTGGCAATCTTTCAACGACACATGGTTGGCTTATAACAGAAGTGTGAACAGCCACCCTTAACAGGTATTATAAGGTTCTTATCACGCGCCCAAGAAATTCGCGACAAATACAGCCCAGTCGTTGTCCACCTTAACCGAACAATATCGCCGTGCATTTTTCTCGTGCGATTGATACGACCGAGCTAAGCCTTTTTCTTCAAACAGGAGCCGATCTATGGGGATACATTACCACATGGATACAGAACGTCTCTTGTCAGACCAGTCACGAACAATCGGGGTCTTGAGATACCAATGCCTACCAGCAGAGTCCACCCGATTGCTGCCCTGACCCCCGAGCTTGAAGCGGTCCTGAAAGAGGACACGAACCGTCGTTTGAGGAACCTGATAGCGGCCAACATCAAGACACGTTATGCTCGTAGTTCCCCCCAACTCTCAGACTTCTTTCTCGCCGTCAATGAAAAGGATATACAGAACGACGAGTCGGTCCTCTTGGACTTCCGTCGACTCGTTCCCCCTACCGACTACGAGTCTTACCGCCCATTCATGATGATGTTCAATTCCCATCCTTGCAAGTTGTCCGAAGTCGAGAACATGCTTGCACCAGGTCTTCCAATTTACATTCCCCTCTCAAGTGCTACTTCTGGCAAGATATGCAAGCAGTTTGCCAAGTACTTTCGATCTCGGCCCTATTCGGCCAGCCCCTTGCCATCCCGCGTAGGAGTTATTTCACTCATTTACACCTTCGCATATAGAGACCCGGTAGAGGTCGTAACGGATTCTGGTGATGTCGCGAAGAGGATTCCTGTATGCAGCGATTCGACTGGGGTAACGCGCGCACAAAACAATTGGTCCATTGAGACAGATGACACTCGCATGGCGTCTATACGTAAGTGGACAAATTGTTCAGATTTTTCTGGTTGTGATCATTTACGCATGAGGTCATTTGCACAGTTCCAGGTCACGTAGCTCCATGGGCCACAGGATTTATCATCCACCACCGGTCCTTCCTGTTGATCCATGCACTGTTTGCTTTGGCGAATCCGTCCCTGGAGGGGATTAGTGTGCCATTTGTAACAATTTTCATGGACATGGTGCATCGCATGGAAGAAGAGTGGGCTACACTCATCTCAAGCATTCGAAATGGGACCATCCCAAATTTCGAGCAGATAGACCACGTCCAGACTTACCTGCAGGTGAGTGATCACAATGGTGCTGCGCAGTAACGAAATCTGACTGCACCAGCTTAACATGCGCGCAGACCCACAGCGAGCAGATGAACTTCGACACATTGGACCTCCTCTTTCTGGCCCTGGGTGGGCTCAGCGTGTTTGGCCACGTCTGAAGCTCCTTACAAGCATTTGTAGCGGTACATTCGCCGCATCACTACCCCAGGTGAGGATATCCACCTTTTATAACAGATCAATGATCCTCACCTCAGTCAGGCGAGGTCAATCCTCGGACCAAACGTGGTGATCTACAACCCTTTGTATATATGCACAGAATGCCTCATAGGTAGATCCCTCAACCTCGAGGATACAGAGACTTTCGTTGTTGCAACCGATGACCTCATCGAGTTTCTTGACATGACACAAGAATCGACACATGGACAAGTACTTCAAGCGGTAAGTGACCCGTCTTCATCCTGGTCTTCGACTAACGCCATTCCTGTCAGTGGGACCTTCAACCGGGAAAGTTCTACCAGCCTATGTCAACGACCCATGATGGGCTATGGAGATACCTTATAGACGACGTCATCCAAGTCACCGGGTTTGACCCGCGTAGCGGGTTGCCGGTATTTAGGTACTCTAGACGGACGAAGTAAGGAAAATTCCTTTGGTCGCTTGTTTTCCTCTTTTCATTATGATGCCCTCGTACAATCACGAAGTCTGGAGCTCCGGCTGCCACATGCCATAATCACGGAAGCTGACCTTGTTAGCGTGATTCATGCGATTAGCGGAGAGGATATCGTGGAAGTGCAAGAGTTCACAACAGTCGTTGACGACCGCAAATTCCCCCAGACAGTCGGATTTTTCGTCTCAGTCACGGGCGACATAGGTACTGCAAGTCTTGCGTCGTCGGCTTGGACCACGAAACTGATGCGATCTAGGTCCCAATGCGAAATCTGCGAGGCAGAAGGGCTTCGCAGCCCTCGTTGCGACAAATGTCGAACACCAAATTGCATTTGACGCCGATGAATTTGGTTTGCCCACAATCCGGATTATAAAGCCCGGAACATTTGCAGATTATCGGCGGTGGCGAGGAGAAAGTTTGAACGTTGGCGTTGGGCAGACCAAGCTTCCGGCTGTGCTTACTGACCCTAAGGCGCAAGAGTGGATGGCGAGGAGGGTCGTGACGGAGCTCTGATTGCAAATAATCGCCTGTGGCAAGCCTGGGTACAGATTCTCCTTCTGTTACTTTACCCACAAACACCGAATACATGAGAAATCACCATATGAGGGTACACCAAAAAAGATTGTGATAAGTTGACCGCCGAAGCTAACTCGTTCGCCCCTCTCGAGTAGAGGTGGCGCGGTGATGATGGCGTTCCGCGTCTGATTCAGAGACCGTTTCATTGTCCAAGCCACAGGCTCGCAATCCGAACATCATCCAAGCTCGGACAATGATTTGCATATGGCTTTCTTTCACTAGATGATAGTGCTGTCTCTGACGGCAGTTACCTTGTTTATAACAGCGTCATAGGTCCCTGACCGCGCCCATATAGGAGTCTCATGGATCCCCCTTCTACTATAAAGATAAAGACCGCACACAGAAATCCTTTTCATCACGTGTCCTGGGATATCACCTTGTTTACAAGGTCCAGGTGGACTCCTTTGTACTGGACTTTCCGACTGAGGTTGAATCGGAGGTTATTTGAGGCAAGTTCGCGGGCGACGAAAAATGACTGGTCGAATTTCCAGTTGCAGTTACCTTGTAAACAAGGTGAACATTCCCTCACCTCGCCATTGGGCTGCGGCCCTTCGAAGGATTTCATCGCACACCGCCAGAAATGTTTATATCTTTGTTCAGTCAGGTTCCTCCTGCGGTCAAGTCAGCAGAGAGCTCGCCATTTTCCATAGTTAATATTGTCGCGTTGATAAAGGTGATAACTTCCCCATTGGCAGAGGTAGTATGAACCTTGGCTTCCCGCCGAAGCCTAGAAATTTCCGATTCATAATATACGGCGATCTCGGTGGCGTTCAGAAGGTTTCTTACACAAACAACATCAAATGTCGTCGTGCCCCTCTGTATGGCATCCAAGCAGGCCGACAGGTGGGAGACGGGATCAGTGTGGAGGGTAAGGATCTAAAGACAGGACAGGTACCCCTCCAGGATGAGTGCTATAACCGGGTGCTCGTACATTTCTTACTAACTCAGCAGACATCCAACGACGGTCCTATCCCCGCTTCAGAATACAACACCATGTCCACCGTCAAGGTTCAACCTCGTCAACCCCGAAGATGCCTTTCCCGACTTGTTCCACAAAGTCTGATTCCTGGACAAGGAGCAAAAACGGTGAAACGAAACTAAGCTTGAGTTTGTCGTCTGATGGGTCGATGACAGTGGATATCTTCCTTGCACCTTTGACCTCTATTACAAAAGACGAATTGCTTTCCGTTGGGAGTGATCTCACGGGCCCAAATGCCCGTATGAGTAGCCACACCATTACCTGTGAGGATATCTCCGCCCGTATTAATGAAGGCGATTGTGAGCTGAGCAGTGTCTTCGCGAAATACGACAGGACTGAAATGCCTGCCCATAGGCCATATCCAAACCCTAAAGGGCAGCCTATCACCTTCCGAAGATATTTTCGAGCCAGAATCGTTTGGTACTCCAGTGAGAATTGGTATCGCTGACGTGGTGGTCCCCAATGCAGATTTTACTGGGTATAGGAAGACGCGGGAAGACAGTAAAAGTCACCAGCCATATCAAAGACGATATTACCAGCGACTGAATGCACGACTAAACGAAGCCAAGTGCCCTCCTTAACGTCATACCTCAGCGTGAGGGGGTACGGGGAGTCGGTAGATACAGTATATCCCACGGGTCATGTTGACGGAGAGAGATGTGTGCCTTGCGCTCGGACGCCGGGTCATCATATGCTAGACCAAGTGAAACCAAAGTGTAATTCACGGACAGAGTGCGAAGAGGGTAGAAGACACTAGGAGGGGATGCTTCCAGGCTAAGCTAAAGCAAGGCACACGGATGCCGATAGTGTAAGAACAGCTCCAGTCGTTCCACTGCCACGCGTAAGTAGGAGATAATACAAAGGGTAACTCGCCTTTCTCGGTTGATTTAGCATCTTGTTTCGCATCGAGATGCATGGCTTCAAGGGCGATCCAAGCAGACGTGTGAGTGCTCCTGGAGTCCCTCGCGTTGCGACCGACCTTCGCTTCGGGCCGTTCACTTACATAAGTACCGGCCCGGGGAGCGGATCAGTCCTTGTGGATACTTTGAAAGTCCTCGTGATCACCGCACTCAAGTCACTGTCAGTACTCTGCGACCTCGTGTAGGATCAGTGATACATGGGAGAAATCTTGCGCTAACCAAGGAATCAGTCAATTTATGCAGTGGCTACGATGCAAGTCTTATCACGCACTCGAAGAATTGCATTTGCTCGAATGAGGCTTCAGTTCAAGGAAGGTACAATCACATTGACCAGCCTATCAATCCTGACAGACCTGTGCAATAACAGCCAAAGTGGATAGTGGATTACCCTCCACCTTAACCGAACAACTTGATCGCCGTGCATCTTCCTCGCGCCAGTGACGAGAGTGCACTAGTAGTCATCAAAGGAACCATCAACCCGTGCTGATATCTATATAACCACATTCATGTCAAGCGTCTCTTAAAACCATCAAACCAGTCGCGAGCAATCCGGATCTCGAGCTACCAATGTCTACCAACACGGTACACTTGATTACTGCCTTGACTCCCGAGCTTGAAGCGATTCTGAAAGAGGACACGGACCGTCGTTTGAGGAACCTCATAGCGGCCAACATCAAGACACGTTATGCTCGTAGTTCCTCCCAACTCTCAAACTTCCGTCTGGCTATCGAAGATAAGGATGTACAGAACGACGAATCGATCCTCTCGGACTTCCGTCAACTCGTCTCTCCCACAGACTACGAGTCTTACCGCCCGTATATGATGATGTTGAATTCCCGCCCTTGCAAGTTGTCCGAAGTCGAGAACATGCTTGCACCAGGGCTTCCTATTTATATTCCCCTCTCAAGTGCCACAACGCAGAAGAAGCCCAAGCAGTTTGCGAAGTACTTTCGATCTCAGCCCTACTCCCCCAATCCCTCTCCATTCCACGTTCGAGCTAGTTCGCTCATGTTCACCTTAGCATACAGAGACTCGATAGAGGTCGTAACAGATTCTGGGGAAGTCGTGATGAGGATTCCTGTTTGCAACGAGTCGACTGGGTTGACACGTACACAAAACAATTGGTCCATCGAAACAGATGGCACTCGCATGGCGTCTATCAGTAAGTGGACAAATCGTTCAAAAATATTTGATTATGATGACTTACACTTGATGTCCCTTGCACAGTTCCAGGTCACACGGCTCCGTGGGCCACAGGGTTTATCATCCACTATCGGTCTTTTTTGTTGATCCACGCACTCTTTGCTTTGGCGAATCCATCCCTGGAGGGGTTTTCTGTGACATTTATACCGTATTTCATCGACATGGTGCATCGCGTCAAAGAAGAGTGGACGTACTCGTCTCAAGTATTCGGAATGGGATCGTCCCAGATTTCGATCAGATAGACCACGTCCGTCCTTACCTGCAGGTGAGTCAAAGTGATGCTTGTGCAGTGACGAAGTCTGACTACGACTACACTAGCTTAACATGGGTGCAGACCCACAGCGAGCAGACGAGCTTCAGAACATAGGACCTCCTCTCTCGCCCCCTGGATGGGCCCAGCACGTTTGGCCAAATCTGAAGCTCCTTACAGGCGTTTGTAGCGGTACATTCGCCGCGTCGTTACCGCAGGTGAGCATATCCGCCTTTTATAACATATCAATGGACTCACCTCAGTCAGGCAAGGTCAATCCTTGGACCAAACGTAATCATCCAAAACCCTTTCTATATATGCACGGAATGCCTCATAGGTAGAACCCTCAACTTCGAGGATACAGAGACTTTCGTTGTTTCAACCGACGACCTCATCGAGTTTCTTGACATGACAGAAGAGCGGCCACATGGACATGGACAAGTACTTCAAGCGGTATGCGTCACGTCTTCATCGCGGTGTTCGACTGATGAATTCCTGTCAGTGGGACCTTCAACCGGGAAAGTTCTACCAGCCTGTGTCAACGACCCATGATGGGCCATGGAGATACCTTATGGACGACGTCATCCAGGTCGCCGGGTTTGACCCACGCGACGGGTTGCCGGTATTTAGGTACTCTGGACGGAAGAAGTAAGGAAAATTCCTTTGGTCACTTGTTTTCCTCTCCTCATTATATGCCCTCGTGTACAATCGTGAAGTCTAGAGCTCCAGCTGCCGCATGCCATGATCACAGAAGCCGATCTTGTCAGCGTGATTCATGCGATTAGTGGAGAGGATACCGTGGAAGTGCAAGAGTTTACAGCAGTCGTTGATGACCGCAAGTTCCCCCAGACAGTCGGATTTTTCATCTCAGTCACGGGTGACATAGGTACTACTGTCTTGTGTGGTCGGTTTGGACCGCACAACTCATGAGATGTAGGTCCCAATGCGAAATCCACAAGACAGAAGGCATTCGCAGCTCTAGTTGCGACAAGTGACAAACATCAAATTGCATTCGACACCAATGAATTTGGTTTGCCCACAATCCGCATTGTGAAGCCCGGAACATTTGCAGATTATCGGCGGTGGCGAGGAGAAAGTACGAAGGTTGGCGTTGGGCAGATCAAGCTTCCCTCTGTGCTCTCCGACCCTAAGGCCCAAGAGTGGATGTCGGAGAGGATCATGTTGGAGCCCTGATTGCAGTTGATAGCCTGGCTTATCACAGTGAACACAACAATATATTATAGCATTGTAGGTCCATACGGTGTAACAGTACCAGCGACGGCGACTTCCAGCACATACATTACCCCCTGATCTAGAATATGAGTTTCCTGTTGGGAAAATGTCTCTTTCTAGGCATCAACTAGCGGTTCTCTTAAAAAAGGTCACGGACTATCACTTAAGGAATCTAATAGTGATCCACACCAAGACCCGTTATGCTCGTATATGCGGACGGACCCGGTCTGTCCTTTCCGACTTTCGTCGGCTCATTTCCCCTGCAAGGCTTATGCTGTCTAGGTCCGAAAGCAAGGTTTGCGAGACCAAGTGGCCACCACCAAACACTAGTCGACTTGGTTTGCCCGCGATCCGCATGGTAAAGGCAAGAACAATTGCCAATCATTGGCAGTGGCAGGGTGAAAACGTGAATGTTGGTGTCGGCGGGATCAAGCTTTCCACGGTGCTCTGTGAACCACAAAGGTAGATGGCAGGAGCTTTGACTGCAGTTGTTAATCTCTATTATGGTGCCTTGTCTATTTTACATCAGGATATATTGCTACGTCACAGGGACAAATACCTTTAAACCGCAAAAGAGAATCTCCTGTAGATCCAGGCTGTCAATTCTTCTGCGTCGTGCCGCTCAGCGTCTGCACGATTGACAACAGTGCATCACTTCTAGTAAAGGCGAAATGGAACCCGTGTGTAGTTTCTGTGCCAATGCTCGAAGTATAGCGTTCAAAGCTTCCTCCGCGTGCGGCAACTCCCCTCGTACGACTTTCTCAATCCACACAGACATGGCAGTTGTTACGTTGGGATGATCGCAGTGTGCAACGTAAATTTCGGTCAGGAGATTTCGTACGTCTGGATACCTGGAAGGGGAAATTGAATTTATGGATAAACTTACAATCACTGATACCATCCTGATTACCTGGAAGCAAAGGTAGAGAATAGCTCTGGGACGACGTTTTGCGCAGTTATCTTGGACTGTATGTCCGTTCGGGCCTGTTCCTTAAGCACTTTCAAATCATACTGAAGACCGCATCATAAACAAGAATAACCTGTCAGCAGATCAGTACCCACCTTATCAGCAAGTCGGTACATGGATTTCGGAGAGCACATTGGTGCGTAGTCGGGAGACCCATGGTGGAAATGTGTGCTCGTCGGGGGTTGTGATCGAAGAGGGGCGAATGATATACGCCCAGTGTAAGTGTAGAAAACAAGCGCTTTCCACCTGATTCTTCTCAGTTGTGAGTATCACTCTCCGCGAGATCGGGCTCGCGTCTTGAATGCAACATCTTTGACGCAAATTTTCCGTAGAAAATCAGGAAGTTTACCAGGGGTTGCTGACGCAGGATCGTCAGAATCATTCACCTATATGTCTTGCATTAGCATGGATGTAGCGAGCTAGCTGTGACCTACTGAGGCTTCGGAGCTTGATCTGATGCTTTCCAATCCGACTTCGCCATTTTGGATACCTTCAGAATCATGGGCCTCTTGGTTGTGCTGGTCATCATCACCGTTCCATTCCTCTTCAGTGACATCTAGGTCACTATCGCATTCATACCCATACTCCTCAACGGACAACCTTTCGTCTAACAAATGAGCAGAGCCTGAAGTGTCATGGAGACGTGTGGTGTTTGCCTCAACAGAATCTCCGCCTAACACTGCGAATCTTCCAGCGTCACGTCAATTTATGGGGGGAAAGAACTCACACATCTTAAAGTAGGGAACTATGGTCGCCAACATCCCGCTGTTTGCGAAGACAGGGCGGGGAAACTCAACGAATCCAGACGACGTGCGCAAGTACAGGTAAAAAACTGTGTCTCTAAAGTCAGAAGAGGTGAGAGAGGCTTCTGGGGTTTTGAACAAGAGTTGCTCCCTCAAAACTGGACCCTGCAGTGTAGAGATACCAAATGTAGGCTGCCCTGGGGCGAGACGCATCCCAAAGAAGGTGACATCAGCCTTCTTTGGTGGACGAACACCCTACTGATAGTCAGCGACACGCAATTCCTATGTATGTTGGTTGTTGATGAGAAGCCTCAGATCATAAAGCTGGAGGGAGGATAAGCATACCTCGAACGATGAAAAGCAATACGACTGCATGGCAGTGATGCTACAGAGCATAACTTCAACCTCGCCGCCAGACTCAAGCAACCCGGTTAACTCGTAGGCATATGTAAGGGACGAAATTGCACTGGGGGATAGTCCAAACCCAACCGTCGCAGCCATGACTAGTACAACCACCTATCACCTCGTGATGTGTGACCAACCCCTGATTCGTTGTCTATATGATGTGAGTCGTGTGGCTGTGTCCTGTCAAAATAGAGGCAAACAGATCGATGGCGACGTTTTCGAAACGGTTTTGGGGCCACTGACCACGACGATGGCTACAGCGGCAACATTGATTCCTATGGATTCTAGCAGAGCCATAGGAAAGAAACGGTGCCTTTGACATGTTGTTAACGTGTAGTATTCACAACTAACGACTGCCCAGGTCACGTTCACCATCTTCCGATGGCTCTCGCGGCCCTCCTCCGACCCGAAGGAGGTCACGTTCGCCGCCGCCGCCGCGAATGAAACTTGACTTACCCAAGGTTCAAGATGTAGATCCCGTGCGACGTGCGCAGAGAGAGCGGGAATTGGCTGCTCGAATGGCAGCAGTTGAGCTCGACAAGACTACTAAACAGGATTCTGCACAGGAGCAAGCAGACAAGCAGGCCGAGTTCCAAAAATTGATCAGTAACTCTCGTTCTGGTGGCGTTTATGTCCCTCCCGCTCGACTCCGTGCCATGCAGGCCGCCGCTGCAACGGACAAATCAAGTCAAGAGTACCAGCGGTTGTCCTGGGACGCGCTGCGCAAATCAATCACCGGTATCGTTAACCGAGTCAATATTGCCAACATTAAGCAGGTTGTTCCAGAACTATTCTCAGAAAACCTCATACGAGGACGGGGGCTGTTCGCGCGCAGCGTCATGAAAGCACAGGCATCCAGTTTACCCTTTACACCAGTTTTTGCCGCTCTGGTGGCCATTATCAACACAAAACTTCCTCAAGTGGGAGAGCTCGTCTTAACCCGGCTCATAAGCCAGTTTCGACGTGCGTTCAAGCGTAACGACAAAGTGAGTCGCAATTCTCTTCGCCTGTTTCGAATCGTTGATGTCATGCCGGACAGACCGTTTGTCATTCTTCGACAACCTTCATTGCTCACCTCGTCAATCAAGCTGTCGCACATGAGATTATTGCGCTTGAAACCCTCATCTTCCTCCTTGAGCGCCCAACGGATGACTCGATTGAGATTGCGGTTGGATTCATGCGTGAGGTCGGTGCGTTTCTGGCGGAAAACTCTCCGAAAGCAAACGCGCTCGTTTTCGACCGTTTCCGTGATGTTCTCAACGAGGGGACTATCAGTCATCGCGTACAATATATGATAGAGGTGCTTATGCAGGTCCGGAAAGACAAGTACAAGGACAACCCAGTCATACCAGACGGGTTGGACCTCGTAGAGGAAGAGGAGCAGATTACCCACCACATACGCCTTGAAGAGGAGCTGCAAGTGCAAGAAGGGCTCAGTGAGTTTCCGTCGTCTGTTACCAGTTTTAGTATTTGAAGCGTTCGGGCAGATATTTTTAAGTTCGACCCCAATTACGCGGAGAACGAGGAAAAGTACAAAGCAATAAAAGCTGAAATTCTGGGAGAGGGCTCTGACGATGAATCTGGTTCAGAGGAGTCCAGCGAGGAAGAAGAAGAGGAAGGTATGCGACTCTTTCACTCCCTATGTCGTAATTTTGACCCTTCAGCAGTCGAAGAACAAGAAGGTATATTGGATCAGACGGGGACGAACTTGGTCAATCTACGACGAATGATATACCTCACTATCATGAACGCTCTCAACTACGAGGAAGCGGTCCACAAGCTCTTAAAGATCCAGCTGAAGGAAGGAGAAGAGGTGAGTATCGTTGTCTTAATCACTTCAAACTCATCCTCATGACCGCTGGTTAGATCGAGCTCATCAACATGATTATCGAGTGTTGTTCGCAAGAGCGCTCTTACTCTACCTTCTACGGCCTTGTTGGGGAACGATTTAGTCGGCTTAATCGTGTCTGGATGGAATGTATCGAACAAGCATTCGACAACTACTACCATACCGTTCACCGATACGAGACCAACCGACTCCGCAACATTGCGCGGTTCTTTGGACATATGTTCGCCAATGATGCGATCTCCTGGGTCAACCTTGGTTGCATTAAAATGAACGAGGACGATACGACGTCGAGTTCCCGTATTTTTGTCAAAATCATGATGCAGGAGGTGATGGAGAGCATGGGTTTGAAAGCTCTTGCGGAGCGATTCAAGGACGAAGAAATAAAGGTCGCATGCAAAGACATGTTCCCTATGGACAATCCGAAGAACACTCGCTTCTCGATCAACTACTTCACGAGTATCGGACTCGGTATACTGACGGAGGACATGAGAGAGTACTTAAAGGTAGGTTTCACTGCCGTGTCCAGAGTTTCGGGATCGCTGAGACGTTGCAGAATGCCCCGCGTCTAATCATGGAACAACGCCGCGCACTGCTCGAGCAAGAATCCTCCTCTTCAGATTCAGATTCATCGGATGACTCAGACTCAGACTCAGATGATTCAAGCTCGGATTCGGGCACGACGTCCGATGCTTCTGACTCATCTATCGATTCCCGACGACGTTCCCGACGCTCACCTACCCCACGAAGAGACTACAGCAAAGGTCGCAGTCGGGGCCCGGCTCGGAGCCCAGACGACTCGCGCGACTACAGGCCACATAGACGCGACGGGGAATACACTCGGGAACGTGATCGCAACTACGCGCGAGACAAGTACCGCGAAGACTCGCGCTCCCCGCCTTCTTCCCCTCGTCGGTCTCCCTCACTTCGTCGGTCTCCCTCTCCACCTCGTCGATCTCCCTCCCCACCTCGTCGGTACCGCGATGATCGCATGACAGGAAGACAAAACCTTCCTCTCCACTGCCACCATGATTCACCCCCGCGTCGACCCCGGGAAGACGACCGTGAACGAGACAGAGAAAGGGAACGAGAAAGGTCACGCGTCGATGGGTATGGTCGGCGGGGAAGGGATGATTCGCGGGATCACCGCTCTGAAAAGGAACGGGATAGGGGCTACTATTCAAAAGACGGCAGTAGGTATCGCGGCAACTATAGGCATCGCTCTCCAAGCGTAAAGCGAGACTCTCCGAGCCCGAGGCGCCGAAGGCTGAATGAGAGGGACTACGATGACCGGAGCAGATAGGCATGCTCGATTTTGAATGACTAGTGTGAGGTGTTATAATCCCTTGTGTACCATTGTGGCGACTCGAAAAAGTTACGAGTCTATGCACTATTATCTTGTTCATAATTCAGTGGACACTGTCCCATCGTTAATACGTGGCTATAAGTCAGTCCAACAGCATGAAGTGGGTCCCAGCAGTTCGGAAAATGACGTGGGGAACCAAGTAGTTAGGGGCAATATATACGGTTTGATAAACGGTTTTTATTGCGGAGTTCTTGCTAGTGAGGTGCCTCCGCAAGCGCCTGAGTCGCCTTAATAACCAGACTGAGGTGGTTATCTGAAGATCCCCAGCCAAAAACGAGTAAAAGACAACAACTCGTTGCTGAACATTTCGAAACAAAAGGGGCAGTGTTACATACATACGACATAGGGATATATTTCATCTAGCTGCTCTGGCAGGATATCATCGCATCATCAAAAATCATGATCATCGACAACAGTCCAACCCTTCTCAGAAAAAGACGATATTCGTTCCTGGTATACAAACATTGATGGGTAGCGTCACGCAAGAATGTTCCAAACAAATGTTGTTACGCTTATAAGAAGGAACGTCGGAATGGGTGCACCGAGAACGGCGCCGCTGGAGCCCGGGACGGGAAGGAAATGGGATGCGTCTGATTGTTGCTGAGCTTCTGACTGCTGTGAAACAGTGAGCAGCCATGTTAACCCACGAAAGCAGTTTACCAACCTTGAATGCGACGATGCCGACTAGTACGCCAGCAGCGAAAAAGATGATCGCTATGATCAACCAAATAACACCCCAAACTGTGGCATAGCAGTCGGTCAAGATGAGCAGTGGGCCCGCAGACATATGGAAGCACGTACCTTGAGACGGGAAGCATCCACAAATCCGTGCAAACGCGGATGCATCAGAGTTGTTTACCTTGCGTTCGATGGTATCGTCTGCAACGTACCGATTTAGTGCTTCATATCGACAGCAACATAGAAGCCGACATACCAATTACATCCCAAATCACATACAGATCTGACATCACGCCTATAAACAAGACCTGAGAAACAGGTTATGAGTGTTGCTCGGAGCCGAAAAGAGGTAAAACCCCACAAAATACCGCAGGGCTACACCGCCCTCAATAAACCAAAACATGACGATCAAGCCCGACATGCCAAGAATCAAGACCCATGATCTATGGACGGAATATCAAAACACGGGACGCCACTTCACGGTGAGGTGGCCACTCACAGCCAATTTTTCCTCGCCCACCAAAGCGTGAACAAGAAAAAGACAGCAAGTGCGAGACAGGCGACTTTACTAGCGTTGGTATCGAATCCGCAGGCGATGAGACACGCCCCAATGAACGAGGAGCCGAGGTATCCTGCCGGAAGACTGATCCACGGTATACCGCCAGACATTCGAGTCTCGCCTCCTTCATCAGCTACAAACGCTGTATTAGCAATATTGAAATGAGGTTGCTAACAAGGCCACTAACGGTCTAATTCTATCGAGTGGATAGTGGCACAAGTTAACATTCCTGCGATCGCGTGACTCATCTAACGGGTATCCATCCGTTAACCCAGCCACATTCGAGATGCAATGCAGGGAGTTGCTTACTTCGTGGAAACCGACAGTGAGCAGTCTAGAAAATTCGTCATTTCGCTAGGACCAGGAATGTGAATCTCGGGGCAACGTACTTGAAAGGATAAACTGTGAGGTGTGGCGAACATATCAGTTACTGCGTCTTCCCCACCGCAAACCTCATACGTACTTATCCAACTAAGATACGGTACATGCCTAACAACCAGGACCAATCAAACTCGGGGAAATGAGGAATAGGAAGATACATACCAAAGAATGGCAATTGCAACAACATAACATCCTGCTACGATCAACGTCACCTTTTGGGTTGCGTTTGGGGTGAGGTCTGAGGCAGCATCTCTGGAATACAGATAGTGCTCGTCATCAAGGAAGGGCATTTCGTATATGGTCGTAAAGAAAGAGGTGTTCATGGAAGCGCAGTATTTGCGTCGACGTGCAAATTCACCGCACTGCCAACAAACCAACGCCAAGCTGACCCAGGAATCCCACTATATAAGCCCAATTTGGCAGCAGGTTGCAATTTGTTCGCCTTACGCCGAAATGAAACGGCAAATTTCATTTCCCGTGTGCCGCGCAACCGGACATTACTGTAATATTGGTTCACCAGCTGTGATGCTGTTGTCATGAGAAATCGTGAATTCAAGTTCCAATTAGATAGAAATATTAGACAACAACAAGGTATGTGTGAAAACAAGTCGACCAATTACACTGCACGCCGGTAGGAAAACATGAAAAAATACAACAGGGAAGTGTGGGGGGTAGAAGCGAGGCTCAAGAGCTCATTCATCCTCGTCGCTGAACACTTCCTCACCCCGTTTCCTGCGAGCCATGCGATCCTTCTTCTTCTTGCGCAATTCCGAAGACGTCAGCTTCTTGGTCTTCTTGACATCGATCTTGTTACCCATTGCGTCGTACTGCACATCCTCTTCTCCGTCTTTCTTGTCAATACGAGGACCTGAGCCCTGTCCCTCAACCCAGTTGTGGCCGGACGCCTCGAGGTGGCCATCACGCATAGCCCACACCCTAACAAAGCCACATGAGAAGGATGCTTCCTTTCCATAAGGGGAACACGTACTCGGTACAGAGGGATTCGGAGAAGTCCCTGTTGTGCGTGATAATAAGCACACCTCCCTCAAAGACCTTCAATGCCGCAATAAGGGCGGCAAGTGATTCACGGTCGAGATAGTCTAAAAAAGTAGAGGTTACTTCATACCATGGCAAACAACCGAATGTCAGACTTACTAGTAGGCTCGTCCAAGCAAATGATGTGAGGACGACGCCATGTAGCAGCGCCAAGGACGATTTTAACCTTCTGACCACCCGACAGACCTCGCATGGAATTGTGGGAAACGAACTCGGGCTCGAGACCGAAGTCAGCAAAGTGCTTCTCGATCTCGCGACGGACGAGGGGTCGCAACAGACCAAGGCGCTGAGCCTCACGAGTATCAACCTCGAGAACTTTCTGGATAGCGGCAAATCTTGGTCAGCCTTCGCTGTAACTGAGAGAACTAAGCTAGATTACCTTCTCGAAACCACGCTTAACGAGTTCGTCACGAGGAATCCAAAGGTTCTCGGTCGACGAAAGACCCTTGAAAGATACCTCGTATTCATATGATTGCTTCAGCTTTTTGCGAGAAGTGATCTCGTCGATGATCCTCTTTTGGCCCTCGTGAATGTAGAGCGAACCATCCTTCATCTTCTGCACCTCGGCTTCGGTAATCTGACGGCTAGCCTTGGTCATTTCCTCCAAATCTTCACCCGTCTGGTAACGCCAGAGCATGTACTCTAGGGCAGTCTTATCGAGATGGTTATCAATGTGGTGGAATGCATGCTGCGCAACGTAACCGATGACCAAGTTTGGATGCTTCCAAATCTCACCGCCCTTGTTCGGCTCAGTGTCACCAATGAGCAATTTGACGAGTGTCGATTTTCCGGAACCGTTGGGTCCCAAGACGGCGACGCGAGAAGAAAGGGAAACTTGCAGAGTGATATCGTACAGCTGTTGGACAGTCGATGTAGGGTATTGGAATCCAACTTTGCGCATCTTCAACAGAGACTTTTCCTTGGTCTTGACACCATCAAGAAGAGGTGGGTCGGGGAGCTTGAACTTGTAATCCTCAGCAGCCTCAAGAGTGTAGTAAGACTTGGCCTCTGGCACTTGCTTAACGAAGTTCTCCAAAGTACCACGGTACCTCTTGATCTTGAATCGGTTGAGGTGGAGGACATCGGTGATTGTGTTGTTGAGGAAGCCAGAATCGTGAGACACGATAACTAACAGGAATAAGAAAAAAGAATCGGTAAGCAGAGCAGACACATACTGGATGTACAGGTCTTGAGCGAGACGAGATAGTTCTCCAGCCAGGCAACGTTGATAACATCCAAGTGGTTAGTAGGCTCATCGAGGAGGAGGATGTCAGCCTTGAAGAGCATGGCGCGGGCAAGCGCGAGTTTCATCTTCCAACCACCAGACAAGCTTCCAATGGATTGTTTCTGGCGCTCGTCACTGAAACCGACGGAAGCGAGAGTCTCAACAACCTCGGTCTCGGTAGCTTGGATGCGCTTGTCGGAGACGATAAATTGGAGAACAGAAGTATCCGCATCGCTGCCATCGATATCGTGCTCAACGTAGAAGGTGCGAACCTCATCTGGGGACGGGAAGCCCTCGACCTGGCCATTGTGGATGGCACGCATGAGGGTGGACTTGCCGGTACCGTTCTTACCGCAAAGACCATAACGGTGACCGCGTTTAAGACGAAGGGTGGCCGTGTTCAAAAGGATCTTAGCGCCGTAAGCAAGGGAGAACTGGCAATTGCACAGGTCTTCACCCTCTTCCTCATCTTCCGGTACGTCGTCGTCATCGTCACCTTCAGTGGCCGAGCGAACAACCCAATCGCGCGTAATAGCCGCAGGATCAGGAGTGGAGGCAGCAAAACCAAGGAAAGGTGCAAGGCTCTCCCACTCAGCGACGTCAAAGTTCTTCGCATTGACAAGGTTGGCCGCCAGACGCGAGACGTACACGACGTTGACATCAGCGGACGAAGGGGGAGCAGCGCCTGCCTTCTTATAGACGGAGGTAAGGCCCGAAGTCATCTGAGATGCTTCGGCAAACTTCAGAGGTGGCAGATCAGTGCCGTCGCTGCCTTCAGGGACCTGCCCAATTTGACGGAGGGTCGCGATGGCTTTGCCAACGACTCCACGAGCCTCAGGATCACCAATGGATGACTCGATCTTGATGAGACCGGGTAGCAGCTTGGGCAAGAAAGGTCGGACCGTGATATGGGAGTCGACCAACTTAGACATGTTGTCAACAATACTAAAAATATATCCATCAGTGACGCAATTGACGGATGACGACAAATGCACTTACACAGCAACCTTGCGTTTCGTAGCAGTGAGCTTTTCGTTGATACCACGTGATAAAAGCGGAACCATCAAGGAAAGCGTAGCAGAGTCTACTTCAGAAACGAACGTAGTAGCCGAAAGAAGCTGAATGGTATTAGGGACCTCCTCGACTGGGTTGATTAGGGAGTTGATAAGTGCCGGAATAAACCGTTCGATATCCTTGTTGGAAATTAATACACAGGCCTTGGTAAGCGAATCGCGGGCAGCCTTCTTCACGTCAGCCTTGGTGTCCCAAATAGCCTCCGAGAGGACGGGAATAATGTCAGGCATGAGCCGAGCAGTCTGCAAAGGGGCACTGGCAACGAGCTGGTTGAGTACGACGAGCGCACCAGTTTTGATTTGCCACTTTCCAGCCGTCTTAATCTGGTGGAGGAGGGCGGGGAGAAGAAGAGCAGTCGCCCATGGGTTCATAGTGGCGGCAAACTGACGAACAGCCTCAACAGCTGCATTACGAGCGGCAGGGATTTTGTCGGCGAATGCCTCAATAAGAGCATCGTAAAGACCAGAATCTATGAAAATCGGCTCGAGAGCCTTAGTCGCACCGGCTTCTGCGAGAGCAGTTACGGCCTGGGCAGCGCCCTCGCGCGCAGCGGGAGATTTTTTGTCAGCAAGCGCCTTAACGGCAGCTTCAGTGAATCCGACCGCAGTAAGGCCAGCCGGGCCATAATTTTGGACCGCAGAAGCCAAAGTCTTGGAGGCTGCGAGGCGACTAGCCTTGTCAGCGGCAAAGAGAGATGCGACGTCGACACCCTCAACGGAGCCCTTGAGAGCAGCAGGGGTTGCAGGGACAGCAGAACTAGCAGTGACAGCTGGCATTTTTATCTGAAAGAAGATGAGGGAGAAGACTACAAAAAGAGGAGAAACGAACTAACAGTAGACAGTATAGAACTCGAGTTTGGATTTTCTTCTAAGAGCGACTAAGCAAACGAAGACCTGGCGAAAAGGTTCAAAGAACACTAAGTCTATGGAATGGCCGAAATGCCTACGCAAAGAGAGCTCAGTACGGGGACAACAAAGAGAAGAAAGGACTGACCTCTATGAAGAACAAAGGGGAAAAAAAAGGAACTGAGAGGGGGTCTGAGGGAAAAAAAAAAGGAGGATACGAGATTTGTATCTATAAGGAGTGGTATGGGCGGAGCTTTAAATATAACCCAGATATGGCGATCAGATCCGGTGCCATCCTGTGTCACAAAAAAAAACAAAAGCGCAGACCCCCAAATGCAGCACAGGCCCCTTGCTGTGTAGTACGAAGAATGGTGACTCTTTGTCGTTACCCCCCGCAGTTGTATTCACAGCGATAAAAATGATATTGTTTGGTATCACCTCTACAACAAAGGACACACTGCTAGGAGGATAAGTCGAAATTTCAATCCTTCTCATCCAGCTTTGCAAAACTCAACGGCATGAAAGGCTGTGAAAGTAGTGAACCCCGGATCAGCATGCGCTGCACACGTTCAGATCATCATTGTTGGGATACGTACATAACCCTCCCCTTGGTAATGCTTGCTGTTCGCTTCGACCCAGTGTAATCGGAGAGCATGCAAAAATGCCGAGAGCCCCTGATTTGGACAGAACAATATGACAGTCAGCTCCACATCGCACGCACGTTCCCACCAAACACGTACCTCCATTATACACAATATAAACACCGTGGCCCCAAACCACAGCGAGCCTATCAGCGCAAGTGCGATGATTCCCATGATGCCAGGCATGCCCAGGAAACCCTCTAATGTCATCGACCACAGTACCTCAGATAGTTGAGCATGAGCCAATGACAGGGCCCACAACCGAAGGTACGAGGCCGTGTGAGATATGCACCCCAGACAGAACTCGATAGTGTGAATAACCTGGTGGACAACGATGTCGCCAAAATCGTGCTGTTCCTGTCAAACAATATCGACGATCGACTTCACTGTCACTATCAAAAATAATATCACTCACGTGTTCCTCTTCCATTTGCTCGATTGCGGCCCGTCCGTTGCCTTCTTCCTCGGTTTCCAAAGCCTCATCGGTGCTATGGCGAAGCCCATCATGATGATCCAGCCCTACATACCCTTGGCCCTGGATCTTTTTCATTTCCTTCCACTCGAAATACGGCTTTGCACACAGCATCCATGGGACGCAGACAACGGCGAGTAGAACCAAAACCACCTGAACGAAACCCTGCCCAGCGTATAGCTGCGTAGTGGGATCAATCCTCCCAGGCGACAAAAGCATGGCGATTAACATGTTGAGCAATGAAGGGGGTTCCGTCGATCGCGTTGTCCAGTCAATCGACCACTTGTAAAGAATACACACGACAAGATAGCCAAAGATCGACTGAAGGAATACCATCTGCGGGATGAAGTTAGTGTAAATATCCAACGGCCGTTTGAATCTGATATGATTAGGGAGCTGCAAGCACAAGGCAAATGTCATCTGGATGATATGATTAGCTTACTGATGTGAAGAAGGCAAAGGATAGACGCACGTGTATGACCCCTAAGACAACAGACATTTTCATTTTGTAGGAGTTCGCAAATACCAAGCCGTTGTCAGCCGAACGCCAGGCAGGATCTAGGCCAAACGGGTAGATACGGCCAGTGGGGACTCCAACCTCGATCCCATTCACATTCACGAAGTCCCACCCAGAACGCCAGATGTGAAGGGTCCGGGAGAACAGGTCATTATAAATGAGGCCGGTATACAGGGAAAATAGGCCCATGAGGAGGATGATGTATCGCCCGCTGCAAAAGCGTAAGCGAAGACTTCTAACGAATACACTACGGCTTACGAGAAAAACATCGCGGTGATCTAGCCATGCATTAGCCTTGAGTGAACCCCAAAATGCGAAAATAGTGTACTTACCTCTCCAAGGTTGGCTCTCGCCCATTTCCTTTCATTTGCGATCATGTACAGGGAGGCAAACAAGATAATGAGACCGTGACCAATGTCGCCGAACATGACAGCGAAGAGGAAGGGGAACGTAATGATAGCGAATAAACCAGGGTTGACCTCTTGATAGGTCGCAATACCATAACTATCCATGATCGCCTGGAAGCCTTCCGTGAACTTGTTCGTCCTTACGAAGGTCGGCGGAGTCTTGTGGGTAGGAAGCTCATGCAGTATGGGCACAACATTCGTCCCTGACTCTTCCTATCTGGAGATTAAGTTCGCCGCAAAAGCAGGTGTGAATAATATATTACCGTCGCGCGCCTGAGGGCTGTTTGTATGACTATAAGATCCCGAGTGGGGCACCACCCTTCAGCAACGAGCGTCTTCCTTCTGACGTCGTAGTTGAAGAGGTTCATCGTTTCATAGATGGCCTTTTCCTTGCGAACGACATCCTGCCATCGAGAAAGATTCTCGCCGATTGTAACCAATTCATTTCGTCTAGTAAGACCAGTGTGGTACAGGACAGTCTGGAGATCCTCCAAACGAGCTGTAACTTCGCGAAGCGAATCGGCACGCTTGTCAGCGTTCGCGTCTATGGGATACAAAGTTGCGCCCATGGATTCTGCCACTTTGCGAATTTTTGCAAGAATAGCTTCACCGTGAGCGAAAATGATGAACACGTTCTTACGCGTCTCCACATTAGTGACGGGGTCGACAAAAGGCTCCGCAATGTCGGTATGGTTCATGTAGAGATTGCCTCTCAGAAGACGCCAAAGAACACGTTCCAAAGTCGGGATGTGCGATCTTTCTATGGTTCCTGCAACGAACCTACAACCAGTTGGCAAAGACGTGGACGAGTTTCTTCGAGGATACAACTCACTCCAACTCGAATTGTGACGCAGATGAATGTTGCGTTTCACGGTCATCATATTGAAGCAAGGGAGCAGAACTGTCGTCGAAGGATGATCGGACTTCGGTTTGCTGAGTTTCTGCCTGTTGAGCGTATGAGTACAGCCTCTATGTCTACTGCTAGTATTACCTACCTTGTCAAAGAAAACCGCGGTCTCCCGTAGAACGTACCGTGCCTCAGTAAGTTCCTTTGTGCGCTCACTCAGTGTCTTGTAACTCTCGTTCATTTGTACCAGTCGAGCTTCATGCTCTCCCAGCACGTCATCGAGTTCGTCAATGGTACGGGCAGCACGAGGTCCAACAGTGATGAGAGGTGCCGAATCAGACAAGGGACGAATCGGAATTGGATCCTTTTCTTTCTCAATTTGGCTGGTAAAGAAACGGGTCTTCCGCGCCATGTCTTCGAACCTCCGGATTTCACCAACAAACGAACGTTGGAAAGGATTGACGTTGGGGTTCAGCTGCAACGCAATGTAAGGAAAATTACCCAGACAATAACAGCTACACGAACATCCTTAAATTGAACGTTACCGAGTTCTCCCAATTCGGTGACCGTGTCATGCGCTACTTCCGTTGGAATATAGAGCTGCACCAAGCTCATGGGTTCCGAACCTACCGTAACTGGTTAGAAATGAGTAACCTAACTATAGTCTGGATACGCACGGAACATGGAAGGATAATCATCCCCCATTTCGTGAGTTAGAATAGTAGAGTAGGGCGTCAAAGGTTATGAAGGACGGTCTGAGTCCACAACAGTGCTGCGCTTGGCGTCTTAGAGACGCGACGGCGACCCGAGCAGAGCACAGCAGTATTTGGCTTTGTTTGTGTTGTTTATGTAGGACAAAGTGCTTATGCTAGCCGAGAAACCCCATGCCGCAACGGACCATCCCCTGAGGGCACCAAGTACTAAAACACCATGCTTAAAATCGCCTACCCTTTACTTCAGAAGAAGATGTGCGGGACGTACGAGATCCTTGGTATGGAAGTCACCGAAGACATCGCAGCACAAGCCAAGCTTGGACGTCCTGGACGCTGCTTGATCGCGCATCTGCGGCGTGCATTTACCTCTAGTCGGGGTTAACGCCTACAGGGCGCGTAAATACGCATTCCCAATGCTTTCCACTGCTAACCTTTATTCACTTTGTGTATCCTGTCTGCGATTGGCCTCATAAGTCGCTTGGCAGTGTGGGGAATGAGCTCGGGACGATCAACGCGCAGTTTTTCACCATCAAGGTTTCTCCCTTACGCAGCGACACCCAATTATCGGTGTTAGAGTCATGGTTGACAGCGCCTGCAAGGCCAGGCGATCTAGAACGGATGTTCCTCTGGCGAAGAGCCCTGTAAGCCGGTCCGGAGGCCGCTAAATACCTCGCAGAAAACCCCGATTACACAGCGCATGTCTCTAGCCCCCATCTGTCAGGACTCGCACAGCAGAGATGATGTCAGCACATTATTCACAATTGGGGAACCCCTTTCTCACAAGCCGTTTATGATATGGTTGGGACACGTGTGCCCGAAAAGAGGTACAACGTACGGTTTCGTTCCCCACTTGGACAGGAATATTCGCCACGTCCTTGAGCTCATGCAACCGAGCGGCCTAACGATCCGTAACAACCGTGGAATGGCGAAGCAAAAGACGATCCCCAAGTTTGCCTTTATCATCAACCATGTATGCCCTTTTCGGGGCAAGGAAACGGGAACATACAAGAGAGAAGGCCTTCAGAGGAAACCGACTGAAAGGATTGAATGGAAATATCAACCCGTTCCTTATGTGCTTGGTGGGCGGTCTGCACATTCAGTTATGTATTTATCTGACCACGTCTGTGTAGCCTCTATTGTTTTGGTTCGATCATGACCCTCGCGGTGATCATTACACCTCCACGCGACGGAGAGAAGCTGGAACTCCGAGACATTGTCACTGTGGATCTTCAGTTCACGCAGAATTGCGTTGCAAATATGATTCATCTGATTAACCTGGCTCCTCTTCTCTCCCAGCTGGCCAGCCTTGTATCATCTCCAGGAGATGATGAAAAGTTGTTCATGGGCCCTGTTGATGATGGGGATGCGAGGTTGTTGATGTAACTGATTGGGGTGATCCTGCCACAACCCCGACAAAGGCCCAGCATGCAGAAGAGGGCGGTATTTGGGGGGGAACTTAGCCTCCCATCCTCTTCCGTTGGCGTAAGAAGCATCCCCGTCGCCTGAGGTGGGCTTGTTTCGTCCCCCGCGTTGTCCCTCTCCGAGAACTTTCAGCAAGCTATACACCAGTGGCTATGCCACTTAGCCTGCCGCTCTGTAATACCGCAGCACTCTCAATCTCTTCTTGTTCCTCACAACGAAGATACCTAGGTTTGAACTCAAAAGTCTCTTTCATGTGCGCATTGTTATCATTCATAGGTGTGCAGTATAATACAGACAACCGCCACCTTTGCTGTTTGATATGTTAGGTCACTAGGAATCCGAGTACGAGCCGATCTGTGCCTCTGCACGTCCGCCGGAACTCACACCGTACCTGCAGCCCAGCTCATACAGCGTCTACATATTGGGATTGGTCCGTCCCCAGTTTTCGACCGACTTGGCACATGGTGACATGATTCAACTGGCGGATGGGGACTGCAATCCATGGAGGGCACTACCAACTTGAAGTTGTCGTTCATTTCATTTGACGTTTGGCAAGAAACACTCCCCCAATTGTCGATAAACGAATGGGAAGGTAGATGGTACGTGCCCGGTTTCAGAGTGGAGTATACATGCGTGCCATACTGCAGAAATGCCGCTGTAGAGATGCCATGGTGACATGGACCCTCCTTATGCAGACCTCTTGGTACAGCGGCGACCCAAGGCTCAAACAGCGTACAACAGCAATACTTGCAGTAGGAGACGGTACCGTCGTGCAGAACCAGCATTGGAAACAGCCTTCGACAATCATTCATGACGATTACCAGTATTTATGTACGGTAAACACATATAACCAGACAAAAAGCAAAATGGAAAACGAGCAGCATAGATTCCGAGCCAGAGAACCATTTAAAAGAGATGTCAAACATTACCGATGCATTTTGGCATGGACATGGAAATCCAGTTCACTCGTCTGGATTGATGTCACATGTTTTACACTGTCTAGAAAGCCTACATCTGCAAGACGGTCGAATTACAGCATGCGCTTCAGACAGTTTTTGAATTGTTTGAGAGCTCGGCACGCACTGTTACCAATGCTAAGTGCTCTAACGTTGCTCTTAGAGCACTAAGAGCCAGTTCGGAAACCGGTGTACAACCCATTGCCGACACATGTGTCGGTTAACATGCCTGGGATGCTCCATGAACTACAAGGCGGAGTTTCAACCTTCCTTCCAACTATACAAGGATGATCACTCATCAATATGATGACCTCAAACCCATTATCACTTGTATCACTTCTGCTATGCTTTGCATTGTACATGTTGCTGGACTCCTTGTTCTTTTAGAATCAGATCAGGAGCCAGAAATGATGAGTAGTCACAAGTGGACTGATTCAGAGACTCATGCTCTCCTCAACTACCTCATTGAACACCAGTTGGAACAAGGTGATACAGGCAACTTCAAATCCAGTGTATTTTCTAGTGCTGTTGCTGTGATTGCTCCACCTAACTTGCCCCCCACAAGAACTGCTCAGCAGATTCAAAATAAATGGCAATGAGTAAGTGCATCCTCCTCACACTGATAGCCTTGACTGATATTGTTATTAGTTGAAAGGGATCTATAATTCCATTGAAGGCTTCATTCAACACTCTGGGTCTGGCTCATGGGATGAACATTTTGGTGCCAATATTGTCACACCAGCTGAAGAGAATGTATGGAATAGCTACATTGCAACCAATGTATGTTGTCCCCTATCATCAAGCATATCAGTTCATCTAACATGAATACATCAGAATGGATGATGTATCCTGCCCTGTAAAAATGTGGGATGGCCATTTTATGTGAAGATGGCACAGATCACCCCATCAGGAGGGGCACAAGGTGCTAATGCATATGCACCATCAGAGGCCCCCTCATCCAACTGGCCCCCAAATTGGCTTGAGGATGAAGATCAAGAAACATGACCAGGTAACTTCAACAGGCCTTCCAACAGTAACATTGGTGGCATGAACCCAACTCCTGATCCCTCATATATTGACTTCATGGCTGAATTTCCCACATTTTTTCCCAACCCTTTGCACCCCAATCCACTGATTCCATCTGCATCACCCAGCATCTCAGAGCCCATTGTGGTCCTGACTCAGGGGGTGGGCACACCATCAGCCAGCATCCCAGCATACCCTCCCTTCCCAATGAAGGGGCTGGGCATGTCTTCAGGGAGCATCAGTAGGACTGGTAAGGAGAGATGCACATTTTCTTCTGGGCCCTATCCAACTTTGTACACTTCTACCCCACCCCCATCACATAAACCATCTCATGGGTCTGGTCAGTCATCTACCTGGTCCTTTGGTCCTCCTAGGAATCAACAGCCAATTCTGCCCAAACTCTCAGCTGGGACTGCAGTGTTTGGTCTGACTGGCACTGTCAACCACATGACCAATCTCCTTGGTTTGATATACCATGACAGTGCAAATGCAAGTGCTGCCTCACCTGCCCCTGCCCCTGCCACCACCATCCAGCATGGAGCCACCACCACCAGTTCTGTTGACCACCTTTCCAAGGCATTGACCCTTCTGTCCACTGAGGACTCCTCGCTACTGGTTGAGGTAGGTGCATTTATGGTGCACACTGTTACTGCAGATGAGAAGAAGGCAATGATGTACACATCCATCACAAATACCACTCTTTGTCAAGCCATTGCCAACCAAGAGTATCAACGATCAATTGCTGGTCATCTGCAGGAAGGTGGTGTTGATCAGGGGGGACCACTTTGAATTACAATGTAGCTGCATATACTTTCCATACTGACATGTACCTCTTTCATATGTTGTTGTAATTCATGCTGTTTCAGATGACTTATCAAGAGTAATTGCTGGAATTAAGTCTTCACATTAAAAAAATGTACATGGAAGGGCAGTAGTTCCTAGGTATATTCCCCACTACTTACTTGTCCTCAGCGCCATCCACATCCATGTCAGACTCATCTTCAAGGAGCTCCATGTGTCCCACTGCCTCTCTCTCCCTCAGGATGGCCTGGTAATTGATCCACATTGCCTTGGTGATTTGATTGTGCAATGCATGTGCCTCCAGATGTTCTCCATTGCCTTCCAGTACACTGGGCCCCTCCAACCCATCACCACCTTGCACACCTGTGTCAAATGGAGTACTGAAGTCTTCTAGAAGTTCACCTTCAAATGGATCATGGATGTGGATGAAATTATGAAGGGTGCAAAGCGCTGCTGGCAGCTGCACTTGCATCTGGAGATCAAATGGTGGAACTAGTGAAAGGATATGAAAATGACACTTTATGACACCAAAAATATGTTTGATAACATTGCAGGCTGATGCATGCCACAAGTTGAACAATTCTTGCTTGTTCACAGGCCTGCAGTTTTCATCAGTAGGATGGTCAGGGGATTGTAAGTGTGATTACTTACCTTACACTAGCACAGTGTGAGTCAAAGTGTGGTTCAGTGGTGAAAACCAACCAAAACCAACACAAAAGACAAAAAGAGTGAGTGGTGGTGTGCCTATGTGGTACCTAGATGGTAGAACCTGTTCTTTGGGAGGGTTTTTGCAAGCTACAACACTCAAAGATGAGTGCTGAGGGTTGGGGGTGATCCTGATGAAGAAGAAGCAGGAATGCGAGAGAATGCAATAGGGTAGACTGCTGTCAGCCTACAGAAGGATGGATGACAACTTAATTTGATGTCCTAAGCTGCACTGAGCTCAGGGAGGGCTTGGAGTGAAGTATATTGATGATAGACAAGGATAAGCGAAGTAGACGATAGTTAGACCCTTAATAAAGTCTCAACTATTGAAGCTGCTGAATGAATTACTGAGTGATGATAAAATGTGAGCAAGAGGGGCTCTCTGATGTCTTTTTTTTTTTTGCTATCTAAGTACAGTGATTTATATACAGTACAGGGGTGTTGCCCTTGGAAAACAAGGTGCAAACACTTGGTAAGTGATTGGTAACTGATGAGTAAGGAATGTAAGTGATGGGTAATTGTCTTGGAAAGCATTGGAAAGCATTGGTAAGGATTAGCAAGCCAAAAAGCAAAGAATCAGTAAGCAAAGTCAAAAGATTGGTAAGTATTGGCAATAGGTGAGTCAAAGACAGTCAGAATGTCAAAGTATGAGTCAAGTGATGTCAGGAACTGAGAAAGCACACTGGAATCACATTAGGGGGAGGCTGTGCATGTCACATCTCAAAGAGATTGCTTCTAGGCCAAGGTGGGATGACAGAGAGGCAGTGCTGATCTGATACTGATATAGTACATCCAAAAGTGGACAGGGTGAGTCAGATGTCAACAGGGGTCAAGCTTTGGGGGTCTGTGGGGTGACAGGAGCATAGGGGATCACAACTTTCCCCCCCAAACCATCCTCTCAGTGAAGCAAATACAAATGTCATGAATGAGGCTCTGTTGGAAGAGAGGATGAAGGGGGAGTGTCTTCTGCTGTATCTTGCAACAAGGAGGCAAGATGTGCATCATACTTGTCATGGATGCAATCAGGGAGAGTGGAGAACAGTAGATTATACTGTAGCTGTCACAATCTTGGAAGAATGATGGATGAGACTGGTATGAAGACATTGCAGGGAGCAGGGAGGAAGGATCCATATGCTTCTTGGACTGGAGAGACTGAAATGATCACATAAGACCTTTCTAAGTGAATGACAGACCTGAGGCAACCAAAGAATGTCCTCCTAGAGGTCATACTGACAAAAAGAACATGCTGTCCAAGCTGGATGGGCTGAGAGGGCACAGACAAGGGTGGGATGTACCAGG